AGATTTTTGTTGTGGGGTATGAATAAATTAGTAATGATAACTGGAGTGTGGAATGGGAGATTCCCAGAAGGCAGATCTGCTTGCTGCTGTTGTTTGTGAGACGTGACTGATACTGGAGGAGATCCTGGATGAAAGAAATTGAGTTTGATTTCCCCCCTCCTGTTCATCCCCTCACTGTGTGGAGATCTGCTGTGACGGCTCAGAGAGGGTTGTACATTCCCAGTGCCTCACAGGGTGGATTGTGTTTGTGCTCTCCACAGCTGGAGGGATACAAGCAGGGAAAATGAAGAGCCAGAATGAGTAAAACAAGGGTTTGAATGAATGAAATAAGGGTTTCCTATGAGCAGTACCCTGGAATTGGGACTCAACATCTGACTAAGCAACAACTCATCTGGAGAGTCAGGATTTTTCTACAGAGGCTCAAAATCAGCAACAATTCTGCACACAGAGCTTCAGCACTGGCCAAAGGAGGGGACAAATGCAAGGGCTTTTAGGGATATAAATCAGATCCCACCACCTAAACCCCACTCAGACTGTTTTGTTTGGCCTCGTCAATCCAGAAAGAAACAGTGGAAAAGTGCAAATAGACAACAGCAATATGAAATTCAGTGATCTGTGTGGGTACAGTGTCATCTGGAGCATCTGCAGAGACTGTTATTTGTTGACTTCCCTTCTCTGTAAGAAGAAGCACCTTTTCAAAAGTTTCTTTACCTTTTTCAAGAGCACATTTTCAGAAGTCTCTTTACCTTTTTCAAAGGCTGGTGTCAGCAGCATATTTAGGACCATTTGATTTTCCTGCACTAAATGACCATGGCAAAGGCCCAAAAAGAAATTGGGTAAAGGGCAGCAACAACATAATGAAGAGTCCATCAGGAAGTTGCCTGTATTTGTCCTTTGGGGATCTTTCTGGATTTCCTGTTTTATTTTAATTCTCTAGTTTCTAAGAAAAAGTTCAAAATAAAAATAGAAAAATCCCAAGAACCTCTTCCTTGGGTTTGGATGTGCCTTTGATGAGTGCAGGAAGGTTTTTACAGGAAAAGTGCAGTTTTCTCTTGGAATTCCTTGGGATGAAGAGAATCCTTGCCAGTAATTGGACTCCTCTCTTCACCCCAGTATTGCCTCATGTAGTTCCCAGATCCCTGCAGGGTGACGTTGAATTTGGACATTAAATCTGTGCTTCAGTAATTTGTGATTTTCATTTATGACCTGTGAGAACTGGCACCTGGGAAAACACCAGGAATGGTTTCAGTTGCAATGTTCTCATACCTTTGCTATCTTCTGAATTCATATTCTGTAAGAAATTAATAAATACCTTTAAATACTTGCTCTGTAGATGTGTTTGTTATTTGTTTCTCCTCAGTGGGTTTTTCCAGTCTTCACAGAAGTGAGATAAGTTGATTTGCCTTGTAAATAACCTGTTCTGTCAGTCTTTTCTCGAACCTGTGAAATGTCTAGGCTGTTTCAAGTCCAGCACAGAGTGTTCATCTCTCTTTTATTTTGGTCTGTACCAGGAAATGCCTACAGAGAATGCCTGGGCAATGGGACATGGGCTTCCAAGATAAACTACTCTCAGTGCGAGCCTATTCTGGATGACAAGGTCTGTATTTTTCCCTTCTTTCTTCTCAATGACATTTCTCAGCATAAATGAATGCAAAACTAAACTTAAGGTTAACATGCTAATTTGGGACTTCTGAGACAGATTCCACTTCTGTCTCTGCAACAAAACCTCCCTGTGAATTGAAGCAAATCACTTACCCTCTCTCCATAGCCCCTACTCAAATGTGTTTTTTAAAAAGAATGCTTTATCTCACTCAGTCCCTGATGATGTGTGTTTATGCAGATTTTTCCTAGCTTTGTTCAGAGCCTACAGCTGCTACAGTAAATGTTAATAATAATAAGACCTAAAGCCTCTTTGGCACTAAAAAATAAGTTCAACCAGCTGATTCCACCCTATATCTGCCCATTCTAAGGTCTCATCAACAACTGACCTTTACAGATCTCAGTGTCATTTCTCCTTAAGCAAATATGTAAAGGGGCAGCAACAGAAAAAAGCATAAAAAGTAGACTGGGGACTCAGCTGTCTTTAAGAGATAAAACCACTCTTGCATGATATAGGAGTTAGCAGATTTTAATTAGCATATGGGGTTAAGCTCCTTCATAAGGGCTGTGAGGAATTATGCAAAGCCCTTTTCAGATATCTCAGAGACATCATAGACATTCACCCTCACACAATTTAAGCCTTCAAGCCCTTCACACTCTTCCCCTGTGTTGAGTGCTGTGGTGGGACACAACCCCACAAAGGCTTTGTGCTGTCTCTGCCAGGAGTGGCTTTTCCCTTTAGGAGTCAGGCTGGAGCCCAGCAGCTCAGACTGGTTTTTTTTTGGGGTTCATTCAGCTCATTCTGTCCTCGCAGTTGTGCCATGCCAGGGACAGACAGGAGGAGGGTGAGATCCCACTTAGGGGCTCTCTGGAGTGGTGCTGCACCCCAAACAGCCAGGATGTTCTTTGGCTGTGGTGCACCATCCATCCTGTAAGATCCACATGCTTGGTCAGTGTGGGTTTTCACCAGTGAATTAGAAAACAAATAACAACACACCAGCTGCTGAGGAGGGCCTATTCTTACCCCTGGCTAATTTAATTCCCCCTCTTTATCCTAGAGGTTTCTAGGGATTAAGAAAAGTTGTGCCAGTACCTGACTGCCACCCAGAGGGACATTCAAGGTGTTCTAGCACGGTGGAGAGTCTCTCATGGCAATTTAGGCCAACATAAGCTGGGACCATCCCAGTGCAGCCCCTCCTTACAATTCATTCCCATTTAAAATGAAAAGCTAACTTGCTGCTGGGACATTTTTTTTGCATGAATCAGGTCCCTAAACCATCTCAGTGCATTGTTGCAGGAGTGCTGGGGCCAGCACGAACTGGGGGACTGGGAGGGACAGACTGACCATGTCCTACAACTGGAGAGGGGATGTGGAGCAGCCAGTGTTGATTTGGAGAATGGGGAGCAGAGCTGGGCAAAGACTGGATATGTGTGATGTGGTTTAGGTGGTACAGGAAACCTGAGCTGGGAGCAGAGAGCAGCACCCACTCAGGAAAACACTGCTGCATTTTAATAACTCTGGGTATGTGTTTGCATGGCTCCCAACAGGGGCTGTCTGTGCACGAGCAAATACAGAGGGGTTTTATTTGAAGAGGCTGGAGAAGTGTTGTGACTAGAGGATGGGATTATTCCCTTTACTCTGTTTTTGCTTTTAAAAACTTTGCAGCTATGGTGATAGCTTAAAACTCCTTAAATAGCATGTTTCTTAAACGGATGAAAGTGCAGATGTTCCCACACCCTTGCTTACAGAGGCTTAAAATCTCATTTATTAGATCTTTAAAGATTTGTGACAAGCTTTGCAAATATTAATATTTGTGAATATTTTTGAAATCTCTCATAATGCTCAGTGTTACAGATGAATACTTTGTGATTTCAAAAAAAAAAAAAAAGGAAAAAGGAACAATCTCCACAGATTTGCTCCATTGTGATTAAAGGTGAGATTCAGGCACACAAGCGGGTCTATTGTTATTTATTGAATTTAGCAGATGCTAAACATCAGCTGGGGGAGTAATGCCCTGTGATTTGTGTTTATTTTTAATCAGAAAAAACCAACACTGCTTTTAAGCTTGACCACTCAAAGGAAGAGTACTAAAGAATCGCATGGTTTTAATTCAGTGATTGATAACAGGGGATAGGAACAGGACTTTTCAACATCAATCCCAGTCTTTGTGACAGAGTTTTGGTAATGTAGCAACAGAAATTTTAGGGCTTTTTCAGCTGTGGGTCAGTCTTAGGGGGCATCAGCTCAGTAACACACATTCACTGGGTTATTTTAATGCATCATTGCTCTGCTTGTGGTTGAGACCTGTGGCAGCAGCTGATAAAACTCTGCTCTGGGACTGATTTGCTGCTAGATTCTCACTCTGACTGAGATTTAGTTCCTTAAATGTTGTTGTGTGGTGTAGTTCAGGATGTCCCAGTGTCTCCATGCATCTGGCAGGTGGCTGTCCTTTGGAATACCTGTGTCCTGTGTCCTTCCTGTCCAGAGGAGGGAACAGAGCTGGGGAAGGCTCTGGAGCCCCAGGTGAGGCTGAAGGAGCTAGGAAGAGGCTCAGCCTGGAGAAGAGGAGGCTCAGGGGGGCCCTTGTGGCTCTGCACAACTCCCTGACAGGAGGGGACAGCCAGGGGGGTTCAAGCTGTGCTCGCAGGGACAGGAGGAGAGGGAACGGCCTCAATTAGCACCAGGGGAAGTGTAGATTGGGTATTAGTGAAAATTTCTTAATTGAAAGGGTTTTCAGACATTGGAAGGGGCTGACCAGGACAGTGGTGGAGCCACCATGCCTGAAAGTGTTCAAAGAACTTGTGGATGTGGCACCTGGGGACAGAGTTTAGTGCTGAACAGGATGGTGCTGAGGGAATGCTTGGAGTCCATGATCTTAGAGGTCTTTGCCAACCTTAAAAATTCTGATTCAGCAGCAGCCATGGAGGTCAGCCACCAGAACCAGCTGGGAATCACAAGAGCCCCCAGTACACCTCAGGGGACACAAGGTGCCTGTGTGTGCACAGCTGATTCTAACCCTTGCTTTGGGTGGGCACCCAAGTGTTGGTGTCCTCATGTCACACAGAATGTCACCCTCTGAACAAATGCTTGGCTCCTCCTCCAGGCACAGGAACAAGTAGAGAAATGATTTTGATCCAGCTGGCTGCTTGGTGGCATGATGTGTGACAAATGGAAAGATACTCCTCAGCCTACAAGCTCCTGTGTTGAAAGGGCTTTCACTGCATCCGACACAAATCTCTGCTCGTCTTAGAGGAAAAGTGAGCATCTCAGGCAGCAAAAGATACATCTTAGCCTCCAAAAAGAGCTGTAAATCAGGAACTTTGGTGTTGTGGTCTGTGGCAGCTGTATGAGAATTTGCTTCTGCTGATGTTTGGAGGTGGCTTCAAGCTGAGTAGCTGAGTTAGCACCACGCTGGGCTCAGACTAATGTATCCTGCATGGGCGCACGGTCACATCAGCCACAGCAGCTCCCAGCTGGCTCAGAACGGGAAAGCAGTGAGCTCAGAGTCATCTGGGATGACAAAGATACTTTCCAGTTGCTTCTGAAAGTCTTTGGAGAGGTTTCCTTAAGCTGTGCTGGTGCTGAGATCATCCTGGCACCAGGAGGAAATTGGAAGTGACTGACTGGCAGTGGCTGTGCAGCCTCCCAGGGAGACAGGAGCTGTAAACACTGGCAGGACCTGTCAGTAAGTCCTGTTAGAGGAAGCAAGATCCTTGTCAGATGATCTAAGAGTGCTGTTACTGGATGGTTATTGATTCAAATCACTCACTGAATTGTTTAGGACAGGTTAAGCAGTCACATTCTAGCTGAAGCAAGGGGAAAAGTGCCCTAGACAGAATGAGTCTGTCATTAGCCTGAAGCCTGCCTGTGGGGAACCCACCATGCCTGAGGTGTGCAAAGCCAGTGCTGGTGAAGACATTGTGCTGCCATTCCTCAGTTTACCTGGTAGAAGCTCCTGGGAGACACCTCTGCCTTGCCTGGTGTGACATGATTGTCATGTCTAACGTCCTGGAATGGGATTGCAGTGGCGTGACCTGCTGTGGCCAGGGGCTAAAATCATCACTGGATTCCCCATCACTGGATTCCCCATCCCTGGAATCCCCATCCCTGGAACTGTTCCAGGTTAGGTTGGACCAAGTCAAGGGCTCTGGCCTTCCTGACCATGGCAGGAATCTTCACTAAGGTCCTTTCTAACCCAAACCATTCCAGGATCCTATTATCTCCTTCTCTAGCTCATTCCTAAACTAGCAACCCCCCTCCTGAGCCTGAATAGAATTTAAATCTTTGTTTTAGGGAAGTGAAGCGTGTTCCTGAAAGCAGAAGGATATTGGGTAACAGGAGAAGGTTGTTGACATTTCAGATGTATTGGTGTCCAAGAGGGCGAGCCAGAAAAGAGCTGTGCAAGTGTTTTACATGAGCTGAGCTTTGGGCAACAAACATGATTTTCTGGGCACGTGCTTTTCAGCCCTGAAGGTATTGTCTCCCATTCCAGCAGAGTTGCAGATTGTATGTAGGCTGGTGGAAAGTGATCTTGCCACCCTGTCAGCTCAGTTTTCTGTAAGCACCAAGGCAGTTCTTGTTTCTGTGATCTTTGAATTTGCCTTCAGGAAACCTTGTTAGCATCAGAAGCAGAAAATACGAAAGTCGTGCCTGTTTTTCCTTCAGCATCAGTGCATCAAACAGGAGCTTACTAATTTTATTTTTCCGATTAATCTTCTCATGTTTTGAACCACACCTTCTTAAAACTGGAGTGAAGTTAAAATAGTGGTCAGGAGCCAAAGGAGGGTCAGACTTAAAAAGCAGGAACCTCGTGCTGGAAAAACACAAGGTTTGCCACCTTCCAGGAGATTTCTAGCACCAAATGAGCAATACTGAAAAAAGTTCTTACTCAGAGGGTTTGGGTTTTGATAGTGCTGGGAGAAGCAGTGAGTTGGATTCAGTGATCCTTTTGGATCCCTTGAGATGTTCTGTGATCCTCTGGCTCTGTGAATTAAGCAGGAGAGTCAATGAGCCCTGCACTTTGCCAGGGCATTGTTGAATAAAACAGCATTGCACAGGTAGGCACATCAGGTCAAGTGAGTTTTCTTTCCCTTCACGTGTCCCCTGGACAGAAGGATAAATAAAACACAGTGTGGAATTTGCATTCCAGAGCTTCGTTTTGTTTCTTTTTTTTTTTCTTTTCACCTCCAGGCGATTCAGAAAATGGGCCCGTGGATGGGGAAGTTTATTTTAGGGGATTTTATAATAGACTTAAAAATACTCTGCGTGGTTGAGTTGTGTCCAGAAACAGCACATTACTCTGTGAGCTGAAGATACGGGCAGGTTTCATCACAAAAATGATTCCAAGAGAGCTCCCTGGCTCTCTGGCAAAGTGCTGGAAGATGCTTATCTTCACAGAACAATGGAACAGATTAACTACAGCTGCTGGTTGTAGATTCAGCCAAACATTCATTCACTGGCAAATTCCTTTCACTGGAGTAAAATGTTAAGGGAAATTGTTAGGGAAAAAAATGAAAAGAAATTCAACCAAAATTTAAAAAGAATGATGCTATTTGTAGGGTTTTACTTACATATTTTTATCACAAAGGAGGAAATGTAGGTGGTTGATTTTTTTTAAGAGCCTTGTTCTTCTGAAGGAGGGCAACGTCCCAACATGGGGAAAGATCTGCTTTACTTGAAAAGAAATAAATGACAAAACTAATAAATAAATATATTTTTAGGGACATGTAGTCTTCCAGTGGCAAATCTCTTTTTAGCCAGCTTCAGTATTTATCTGAATAGTGTCTTTCTACTTCTTCCTAGCCAGGCAAAGAGAGGAGATGCTTCTCCTTTCCCCAAAGACAGCAGCAGCCCACCAATAAAGATGTTTCTGCAAAGTCAAATTTTGGTAACTAAATCCCTAAATTTACTGATTTAGATGGGAGCACTTCTGTACTTATTTTTTTGTTTACAGGATCAAGGACCTACCAACAATCTCCCCCACACTCTAGGAAATAGACACTAATACAGGAAATTTCAGCACATATTTGGGTTGCTGCTAAAAACAACAGGATCCATGGTTTGTCAGAACTGAAGGGACACCACCAGGTTCCAGCTCTTTTAGTCTGCATTGATTCTGCCCTGGGTTGGAAGAATAAAGGTCATAGCCTGCAAAAAATGTCCCTCAGGGGAAAATCTGCCTGTATGGGAAGGGCCTGCTATTTATTCTTACTGACATTTTTGTGTGAAAACCAAGCTATTTGAGTAGGAAAATGGCATAACCTGGCTCATTGAGACCTAAGAAAATAATGTGCTATAACTTTTGAAACTTTGAAAAGATGTGTCTTTGATAGGTTTCTCACCTAAAATGTCAAAGGTTTAAAATAAGAACACCTGAGGAAATGGGGGGGAAAAAAAAGAAAAAGAAAAGCGGGGACAAAATATTTGTAAGAAACTGTGGACAAATCCCAAACTGAAATGACACCAAGCCTGTACTTGTGTGCCTGGACAAAATGTTTGCCTTACACAGAGGCATCAGCCCTGGGACTATTATATCATTGTAAAGCTGAGAAAATTAATTACTGTTTTCTGAAGTGATAAAGTGTTCCTGAATGCCGGTGCTTGGGGACTGATGCTGATTTAATCCTGTTATCTCTTTACCTCCAGAGGAAGTATGCGCTCCATTACAAGATTGCTCTCATCATAAACTACCTGGGGCACTGTATTTCAGTAGGGGCCCTTATAGTTGCCTTTATGCTTTTCTTGTGCTTGAGGTGAGTAATGTGTTTGCATGTTTCTAACTCGGTTGGGTGATGCTTTCTGGGTTGCTCCAGCCCTTTTCATGACTCTCCTCAGGTCGTGGATGGTCCTGGAAGTGCTCGTGGCTTTTTGTGTTCCTGAGCACATCCGTGGTTTTGCTGACTAATGTTCTGGATGAGCTCCTCCTGAGCATTGGAGCTAAAGCCTGCTTGGATTCAGGGAAAGAATGAACATGATTTATTGATGCAGCAAAAAAATTTCAGTGAGCACAGTGTTCTTCATTAAGGGAGACCAGGATCTAAATGTGTCCAGTTGCAAGTTTTGGGGACAAGTTTTGTTTTCTCACAAGGCAGAACATGGTAATGTCTTGCATTTCCTGACAGCTAAAACCCAGATCTAAACCAAAGGAGACACAACAAAATCTTTCCATTTTGCTTTCGGTTAATTTTGGTTTTTCTTTCATTAAAGGGCTTAGAAATGCTCTTAAATAAAAAGAGGAACATCATTAATAGAGCTTAATCCCCAATAGTGTTCATGAAATGATCAATGCAAATCAAGGAGACTGCATAGAATCCCTTCTCTGATCTGGACCAGGGTGCAGAAGGGAGTTTGGCAAATGGAGGTGTCAGTGAAAGCAGAGTTAGGGCTACAGGGAAGGGACAGGAAATTAGTGGAAAAGAAGTAGATGTGGATCATATGTATATCCACAGCGTGAACCACAGGAATATATTATCATAGGAGTGGCTTGGTGAGTTAATTCTGTGTTATTTCTTGGATTCCATGACTGGCATTTCTGTATAATTTGTGCTGTGTTGTCCAGGAGAGTTCAACCTGAACTTAAAATCAGCTTCACTGAGTGCTGTGCAATGATAATCCTTAAGAAAAACCTTGTCCTAATAGCAGAGGATAAACTGTGGGTGGAGGACATCCTCCCCCTGCCCAGGATTATAGCAGGATGATTGACAGTGACCTCTGTGCAAGAATTACTGTTTTCCTGGAGCAGAGCATCCCTAAAGTCTTAGCTAAGTCTTCTGAGCATTCCTAACAAGGCCATTTTAATAACAATAGGAATCTTCTCACACTCCAGCATCTATAAACAGAATAATCTATGCTAATGGAAACCAAAAAAACACCTTTAAAAAGACAGCATTAAATGCGAACTTTTATAATGCATCAATTTAAACTTCCATTTCAAACCCTCTATAGTGCATGTAAAGCTAATTCCCACAGTGCTTGGAGACCTGAACTAATTTGCATTGAATAAAGAATGAAAATTATTCATTGCAGTAACAATAGTTCTTGCTTTTATGCTCAGTCTTTTATAAATGCTCGAGTAAATAACACAAAAACAATTAGGTAGATGGTATAAATGTATCCAGCTTCAAACATGAAGGTGGCCCAGCTGAATTCTTCTAAATTGTTCTTCTGTTATTTAAACTTTAAGGTTTAAATTTTTCAGTCAGCTTCAACATTAAAAACAACATCTGAATTGTGGTAATTAAGTGTTTCCATGTACATGCTGTGAATTAAGATAGTCCATCTTTTCAAATTCACATTGTGTCATGCAAAATGTATCCAGTGTGCAGCCAGAGTTAACCAGCATGAGATTCCTTGGGGTTTGTCAATACACATCTATTTTCCAAAGTTGTAGAGATGTTCCAGTGAAGGCAACCCAAATTCACATTTCATTACAGGTTGCCCCTACCCATATTCTGGGTTATAGACATCTTCATCACATTTACCTCTATAAAGTGCCTCAAGAACAAATCAGTTTTGATAATCAGTTTCTATTATTTGGAACTTTTTTTTTTTCATGCTGTTTTATTTTGGATGGAAGAAGATATGATGGAATTGGGTAAAAGGAGATAATTTAGGTAATTCCTGGCCAAAAAAAAAAAAATTTGATAGCTCCTCATCTTGACCTAAAGTAGAAATCTGCCAGTTCCTTATTCCTGCCCCACTCCATCCATCTATGTCACTCCATGCTGAGAGTGAAAATAGAGGAGATCTCCATGAAGATTCAAGTTTTACATCTGCTCCCAATTTTTGTGCTTCTCCCCCATGACCTGCTCCATTTTCCTTTGCTCTGTCAGTGCAGTGGGTCCCAAAGGCAGCCCTGTCTCAAGGGGGAGGCTGGAGCACATCTGCTCTGTTGGAACATAACTGCTGGCCAGGCTTTGGGATCTCTCACTCTGGGGCTTTTAGGAGCAGCTGAAATATTTGGCTGGCATGGCAAAAGGTGCTGCTGTGATGTTCAGCTGCTCAGGAGGGTGTTCTGCTTTTGGAAATGAGATTCACCATCACTGCTGCTGCCCCAGCCCAGTGGGGCTCAGTCCTCCAACTTAGTTCTCAGTTGTGCTGAAGTGGGAAGGGGGAAGCAACTGGGTCTTTCCCCTATTTTTCCCCAAATTATCCTGTCACCTTGTACCCAGCTTCATTCTTCCTCGATTCCTTAAGCAACTTCATCCTCCATTCACCACCCACCCTCCATTTAGCAGAAAAGTCCTACTGCCATAAACACTGAGGAATCACACACCTGTTTTAAGGGACAGGAATCTCAGATGTAGCAGCAGGTGATGAAATCATCTTTAATTGTGTTCATGAGACCCCAGCACAACTGGGAGGGGATGAGAACTCAGCCAAGCCCCCCCTTTTCCTGTGAAAACCCATTTTAGCCTTGTTTTCTCCAGTCCTGTTGCATCTGAACCTGTGCAATGACAAACAAGCCAGTAAACATTTCATTTAGCACCTAAACAATAAAAAGTGAAGGAGAGGACCTGATTGTTGCTGGCACGCTGGCTGAATGCCAGTGAGTCACTGAGGCAGCTGCTAGAGGTCCAAGTCAACATCAGTTTCTCAAGGTCTAAATGTAGTGATCTTAAAATTGTAAGAGCTGTGCTGTCTCTACCACGCAAACCCAAACAATCTGACAGACAGAAAAGAATACACCAAGAAGAAAAAACAAAGAATTTGTGCACAAAGTGTTCTGTAGAGGTGGATTGATCTCCAGTGCAGCCCCTGGAGAGATTTGCTCAGGGCACTTCACTTGGCATTGTTGAATGGATCTGCACTGCTGGGATTCTCACAGTCTGTTTTCATTAATAGTCAAGGTTTGCTCCCTCCCTCAGGTGCACACAGCTCCCACTGACTCAGCCTCATCATCCCTCTGAATCACAATCTCACACTGCTGAAGCAGAAATTTTCCATAGGAGGAATCCTGCTATCAGTAATACAAATCAATCTGGAGAAAAAAAAAATCCAAAGGATTAAAATACTTCTTTTGAATCACATTTTTATTTTGCTGATAATGCAGAAACCCAGATTGCTTTGTCCTGGATTTTCCCTTGTCACTGTGCTGTTAGAGCATCCTCTGAGGCAGAATAAGAGTCCTTTGTAAAACTCCTGCCTTGTTATTAAACAATGTGCTGGCAGTGGCCAGCAGTGACCTGAGTGGATTCCATCAGAAGTTTTATTTGTGCAGTGCTTATCAGAAAAGAAGTAGGGGAAGAAAGGTATTTTTTCTGGGAAGCATCCACGTCCCTGCTGAGTTTTGAATCCAATAAAGGATGGTGCTGACAGGAGGATAGGCTGGAGATTAAAAATGACATGTCCTTGCTGGATACAGGCAGCTCTAAAAACAACCAAACCCACAAACATTGTCATAACATCTTTTATCACTACTATGGTGGCAGTGAAAGCAAATTGAGCTTTTGAGGGTAATTCTGCTCTCCTGTTGCCCTTAAATTTAGCTCTTTCTAATTCCCCAGTAAAGCATCTGATACAATTTTTTTCATTGTCCCGAGGCAGTATCCCCATTCTTCTTTATGATTACATACAGATTTCCTAAATCCCACATACTATTTCTCCCCAAAAGACTGGAACTCTTTTTTCCTAAAACAATATAGTCAGTTCTTTTTTTTTCTTTCCTCCCCCCAGTCATCTCCTGTCTTAATTTTTCTTTATCATCTCCTGTTCCAAGCTCCTTTGAACTACCCTGTTGCTCTTCAGTCTGGTGCAGGATTTGGCAGGATTGCTGCTGCAGGCTTCTGTTTGTAAGAATGGAAGAGTTTGATTAAATTATTTGTAGAAACCTGTCAGGAGAAATGCAGAGCATCAACATGGAGCAGGTTTCATAGGGCAAAGTGATGTGACACCTCTCAGAACCTGCAGACTGAGGATATCTCAGTTGGGAAGGAGATGTGCAGGATCAGTTCTGGTTTACATTTAAAAGGATGAGGTTTCTGGTGTGATAAGAGCAGAGCAGGTTCCACATCTAAGGCACAATCATTTCTTGTTGTGGAGCAAGAGGAAAGAGCAACTCGCAGGTCAGGACATCACCTACCAGAGTTCATGTCAGTGCTCCATGTCCCCCCCTCATCTCCTGCCTTCCTGCTCAGCCTGGTTCAGTCTGTTCCATCTGCCACTTCAACAGCAGAGCCTTCATTCATGATTCAGGCAATTTTAAACTTCACCATAAATCCTGGGGTGGGATGGGTGCAATGGCTGTGGGTTTGAGCACAGCTCTGTCCCACCCTGTAACAATCCACAGAGGAAGGCAGAAATGAAAATTATGGAGCTCTGTAAATAAGAATAAACCCAATGAGGGGCCGCTTTTAAATATAAAACATCTGAAGTGCCTGTACTGCCTGAATCTCTGTGAAGAGTCTCATCCAGTGAAATTAGATGAAGGCCAGAAACACTTTAACATATTGATTAACCCCAGGCCATTGCCTTTGCTTCCCACTGCCTTTACTCGCCCCCTTTTCATCTCACATCTGTAGGACTTGTTCTTTTCACTCTTTGTATAGAGCCTACCCCACAAAAAATAAAACTCCAGAGAGCAGGGCCCTCATGAGCTCCTGGAACAATACCAGTAATTGAACGTGTGCCCAGAGAGCTCTGTTCTTAAAATGTGAGAGGTTTCACAGGCTGCATCTGAAACCGTGGTATTGGAACCTAGCACAATGAAAGCCACCGAGGAGTGTTGTTGCTGCCTAAAAATACATCACCAGTG